ATTGTAACAGTTGGCCAACGTCACGGAGAAATAGCAGTGGCAACACGGACCGCCCTGTCCTTGATGTGAGAAGGGAGACGCGAGGTGGAGACACTGCAGCACTCAGGCCTGGCCGGGGCCTCGAGGAAGCGCACAAGGCAGGTTTCGGGACAACCCGCAATTCCCTTCATCCGCCAGAAACATTTTAGTGGCAGTGACAGGGCAAGCGCGACACCCACAACCCCGCAGTGACCGAGGGAGGCCACGGGGGTGGGGGGGCTGTCCTGCCCCAGCGGGCGGCGGGCTGTGCCTCAGGCTGCCGGGAGGCCAGGCGCCAGCCAAGGGGGTCCTGATCCGGCCTCACCTTCACATCCTGCCCGCGGCTGCAAGCGACCTTTCAACTCTGACCAGGAACCCGAAGAGCAAGGGGTCTTGCTGGAGCCACGCCCCCCGGCAGGCCCCCGGTCAGGCCTAACTGTGCCCAATGCGGGTGGTGCCGGGCCTGGGCGATGTCCCGTGACCGGACAGAGAAAGGGAGCGGCGACAGGCCATCTTCTCTGACGGCTGGGGTCAGGGTGGCACCCCTGACGGACACTAGGCCAGCCCGTCTTCAGTCCCGGATGCCCCGGTGACTCTTGGGCACGGTCACATACCTCAGCTTCTTCACGACGGCGGGCCAGCCCAGCAGTTGTTTGTCCCACAGGTACTCGGGGGACAGCACCTTGGTGGGCTTGTGGTCGAGCAGGTACCTGTTCAGGTGGCTCTCGTCGTGCCACACGGCCTCGATGCCGTGGGCCCGGTCGACCACCATGGCCTGGTGACAGGCCGACGTGAGCTGCAGAACCTCGGCCACCGACCCCCCGAAAAAGCCTCCCGCGTAGTAAAAGTCGCCCTCGTCCCTGGGGACGTGCGCCTGGGACTGCGGCCGGCGCTCGTAGGTGAAGGCCTCGCGGGCCGCCCCGTAGAAGCCGGGGTGCAGGGTGCCGAAGAGCGGGGACAGGATCTCCACGCCCACGTGGTCGCGGAACCTCATGTCCACGTCCGCGCACACCAGATACTCCACCTCGTGGAGGAAGCGCCGCCGGGAGAAGTTGCGGATCATCTCCATGCGGTGCGTGGACACGTCCTGCCAGCGCGAGTAACTCCAGACCTCCAGGACCACCACCTGCCTCCCTTCCCCGGGGGCACGCGGGGCACATCCCCCGGCCGGTTGGTGAACACATAGTAGGAGACCTTGTGTCCCACCATGAAGTGCTTCTCCGCCGTCTGCAGGAACAGCTCCAGGAAGGCCACGTATCTACAGGGACAGGGGACAGGGCGGGAGGAGGGTCGCTGCCAGAGGCTGGCGGCAGGAGCCCAAAGCCGGGGGCCTGTGTGCCTTATCGAGGAGACAGACCCTGGGCTGCTGAAGGAACAGCCGCTGTCCTGGCCTGTCCTGGGCGAGTCTGCCCGCGGCGCCTCCCTAACCTCTGCCCCGGGGGACGGGGGACCATCAGCGCCCCATCTTACAAAGGGGAGCGAGCCTGAGGTGGAGGAGGCTGGAAACCCGTGCGGCCACGAGTCAGCATGCTGGAGCCAGCAGCGC